CCATGCCTATCTGGTACCCTATGGCTAACCTCAGCACAGGGCACTCAGTGGTCTCAACATGCACAAGCAATGCTTCGAGTGCATTTGTGGTTGAATACTGGGGACTTACGAATATCGATGTAGAGAAGGACATCTTGAACATAAATTGTTGGTCAAGGCGATAGGATTACTGCATTATGTCAAGGTCTTCACCAAATAGAACCATATCATCGTCGTATTCTAAGTCAACAAGTGAATCTCCCTGTAGAATATAAATCCTTGATGCTGTAGTCACTGACTATACAAATTGGCAAAAAGGCGTGTCGGTTCAAGTTACCATCAAGTTGAATAGGCCGTACTTACAAGCAATTATACTTAATTGAGAATTCAGACGTTGTGTACAGAATGAGTTAGCAGATTTCATTGTATTGAAAAAAACATTTAACAATCATCTAAAACTAATTTAGGACCATATTCTTTATCTCCAGAGTACAGTTATACTGTTAAATATGATTATTTCAAAAATAGGGTTCTCATGAAGCAAATAATATCAATTGTTGTAACTAAATTATTTTTAATTTATTTATTATATTTTGCTTATGTGAGATGATTTCTATGACGATTTTATTATAAATATTGTAATTCTATGTAGTTGAGGTTATCCAACAGACAAAATTAAAATATATTTATTAATAGGAGGAAATCTTGTGTAAATGACGTAGTAAAGTGAGAATAACCAAATTATATTTACATATGTTTATCTAATTAAATGTATGTATGTCTTTTATAAAGCGGTTGGTTATTGGATAATGCTAGATAGAAACTAAATGATTGAGGCAAGCGGTCAAACAGTATTAATCTCCGAAATTAAGGTCATTGTGTCAAATTGGAAGAAGAATATGATAATGACATTTGCGAACAGTCAATTTGAATGTCAAAATGTCAACTTCAATGCAAATGTTTAATGGATAAAAGCCATAAAAATGTTATTTTACTCATAAGTTTGGATAGTTCTTACATTTGTTACACTTGGTGAACGAAAACAAACAACCTTGATGAAATTTAGTAGAGAAATCAATGCCTCAGTTGGTTAGCTGCATTTAGTTCTTCAAATAAACGATTTTTAAACATTTATTGAGCACTTCTTATTGCACTATGAGTTAACCTAGTTCTTTTCTTTACGCGATCAACTGACTTTGTGCACTCTATCTAACGGTAGCTTTCAAATATTGCCCTTAACGTCAGATGTCATAAAAAATGATTTGATTACTTAATATTGCACAACTACGTAGCAGTGTGCCATAATCTGTCCCAAAATACTGTCATAATTTATGTAATTGGATAAATATAGAATTTCATAGTTTAAATCACAAACTGATCTTAGATCAGCATTAAAAACCTGGAAGCACCGGACGACCGTTTGATCCCAGTATGGAACGTCTCGCTAGTGCACATTCACGACCCTACATCCGGAAATCGAACCTAAGACCCTTTATTTCGCGAGCATGCGCATAATATCAACGTTATGTTCTTATAGGTTGTTAATCATCACTTGATACGATCGCCAATTAGAAAACCGACTTACTGACCAAACCAATGACACATAAACCATTACCAGCAGTTCAGAGTCAACTCTGATTTCTTATTGGTCCACCGAAATAGTAGCTTCTCGCCTAAAACAGCCGGTTCAGTCCAGAACACCGATATTAGCCTCCGCTGTATGATTCATGTATTTGAGATATACTGGGTTTATATACAAATAAACCAGACCAACAACATATCATAAAATAGAAGATAACAATTATGCAAGATCAGGCCGGAAAGTGGCTGTGATTGTGAGATACTGTTACTAATAGATTGAGAATAACTTAAGAATGGTGAATCGTATAATAGTAGTCAGTTAGTTGAATTACATCCGCTATCCCTCGTGAAGGAGCAAAGGCTGCCCACCAACATTCTTCATCAAACTCTCTTCCGCGCAAACCTCTCCAGTTGCTACTCATCCTTTGGATGTTTGCTTCCATATCTCGACGTAGTGTTCTTCAGCCTTCCTCTTTTTCGCTTGCCCTAAGGATTCCAGGTTAGCTCTTGCTTCGTGATGCAGTTTGATTATCTCCTTAATGTATGTCCGACCCACCTCCAAAGTCTTGAACATTGTTTTGTCTTACATGTGTTCTTCGATTGTAGGAATGCTGCCCTTCTTTGCCAATCCATAAATTTACATCAGCATCTGATCCTCCTTGTTCATCGATGCTGCTGCTCAGATACGTGGAAGATTCCACCTCTTCCAGACGGCCGTTTCGCCCTAGTATGAAACTCCTCAGCAGTGCGCATCCACGATCGCGCACCACGCGGGGCTCGAACCCAGGACCTACTGGCTTCGCGCGCAAGCACTTAACCATTAGACTACTGAGGAGTCCCATACTAGGACGAAACGGCCGTCCAGTGCTTCCAGGTATTCAATGATGGTCTAGCTTCAACTGACTCATAATTTCAATCCGTGAAAATGTCTAAAAATCTCCACAAACCCCTTCTGATAGTTAGAATTATAGTTTAAATTCCTGACTTCCCTAGTTATTATTGACAATAATCAAACTGGTCATAATCTTCAGACGGAACCAATAAACATTCAAGCTGAAAACAGTACAGGTTAACATTTTAAGCGTATAACATTAACAGAATTCTTTCCACCTGTGAGATAAATTATGTTTCAGTGTAATTAATTTTGCCCACAAGATGTTCAGTCGCTCTTTAGGTGTTAAGTTTCATTTAATGACAAAAGTTCTTGTATACGAACACTGTCTTTTTTTAAATGGTACTGTAATGTGTGATATATATATATATATATATATATATATATATATATATATATATATATATATATATATATATATTTCTTAGGTTTCTATATGTAACATTGTTGAATAAGACTATTTGTACGAAAGATACAAAAACAAACTGTTTCTGGCCTTGTTTACCGAATGGTGAGATAAAGGACATACGACTTCCTGTTAGTAGTTAGGAGTTCTATACTTGAACATCTAATCGACTGTAACCATTCTACAGATCAAAAAAAATGAATTTAATGTTGTTTATACGATTCGTTCAAATCTACCCAGATTTCTTCGCATCCAACTTTTAAAAATAGTCGAAACTCTAGCCATCCAGGAGCTTAAACCAGAACTATGCGTACAAAAGAAGTACGTCTTATCGTCATCGTTACCTTGGCCTTAAGTATTTTGATTATCCTATTATTATTATTATTATTATTATTATTATTATTATTACTGCATTCCCCTCTTTTCTTATATTCTCATTGTTTTATTTGTGAATACTCATCATATCACCATATTTATTTTTACACCTCTATGACCTTTAATTATTGTAACCAAAACATTTTAATCATCTTAATATATTCACTAAATCTATTGTTATTATTCGTTTTACGTAATCTAATATTATAACCTTTTTATTAACTGTGTTCACATTTCCTCACGGAATTAGTACTTTTACAAAATTTTCAGATATATACGATTGTACAGCTTGATAATAAATTCGTTGAAAAGAGATCCCTTCCCTGAAATTCGTGTTTTAAGTTAAATAAAATCATATTCCCCTTGTAGATTCCCCACATGTCCATTTAACATACCATTCAACTTATCAACTGTTTTTTTTAATTCAATACTTTGCTTGGTACAAATAATACATTTTCAAGACCTACACGGTATTGAAATGGGAAAGCTAGAACCATAAGGCAGGCACATCGAAAACTACTCCATCAGACTTCTTTATTAAATTGGGAATTAATCAGCAAGTGTGTTAATAGTGGAGATGATTGAGTGCTTATCTACCGCGTAAAAAGTATGCTATTTGTGAGAGCCCTTTTCTACTTATTCACTTAATCCTGATATCCGAACTCCATGTATCTTTTAGTCCCCTCTTATTATTATTATTTCATATTTCAAGCTAGACCTTGACTTTAGATGCATTTTACTGGTTCCCATAAAAGTTATTCTATCCACCTTCAGCATTTTTTCCTAATTTCTTCCTTAATTGATAATTAGTTTTCCCTCTAACAGATTAGATTATTCCCAATGTTGTCTGGCCAGTGGATCTGGAGTGTCTTAAGTAAATAACCGTTCATAAATACCTGTACCTTTTAGATGATAGTTGTGGTCATATAGTTTTGGCATCAGTATTGTAAATTCTGACCTTGGCCTTGAGTGGTAGTTCTTTTTGTAATTAGAAATAGTCAGTAGTTAACACACGATTGCTTTTGTAACAAAGTGCACTAAACATTTTGGTCTTTTTTTAATTAATCGTCATCTTAATCTAGTGAGATTAACTGACACGCCTTTTTTTTCTAAACCTTTTAGATGTTTTACCATATTACATATTAAATTTATATCGAATATCCTAACACTATAACGCCAAACAATGACAAAAACCCTGTGAAAATTTTAATTCTTAACGTCTTATACATTCCAAACAACTTATTTTTTATTGGTTACCAATTCATTTCTTACAAATGTAGCATTAGGTCAATACGTGAAATTAATTAAACTTATCAGCTTGTATGTAGCTAAAGAGATAGCAACAAAACACAACAAATTTATTATATTCTACGAGTATTATCATTGCTACTTAGTTCAAATTCATGAAAGAAACCGGTTGTATGAAAACTAATAAAAACCATGTAAATTATAAAACTTAATGTTTATTGTCATTAAAATAAATCAATAACAAAAGTTGTTGAATAAAGATATGCGATAATAATAATAATAATCGTAATAATAATAATAATATTGAGAGTTCAAAAACTATCAGTTAATTATTACATGCTGTAGCAAATGATATATATATATATAAGATTAAATTACCTGTTTATTATTTCTTTCTTTAGTTCTCTAAATACTTAACTACAAGACAAAATAAGAGTGGTACAATTTAATTAAATAAACTGTACAGAATAATTATTGTTGATTATAATCACAGCGGCAGTAGTAAAAATATAATGTTTGTTAATGATCATTGTTATGATCAACAACAGTATACTTTATTGATTCATTACATTCACTGAAATTCTTCATTAATTTACAAGGTAGAGAAGAACAGTTAACCGTAACTGAATCATGAGGTAAAAGTTCAGGAGGTCGGATAATACCTTTAGTAATATCCCAACATTCTTTTATAATGTCAGAATTTATTTGAGAAGATATACACGAATCATTTTTGTAATCAGGATGTTTCATGATACGACTTCTCATCCATTTGGCAGTAGTCATCAACTCACCTTAATAGGAAAATAATGATAAGAAATCAAACAATAAAATATTCATCGACATGTTAACGGATGAATGACAAATAAAATTATTTAGGAAGACTAACATCAAAGATTTACTTTTCATGAATATTAGTGCATACAGAAAACGACATATTATCATAAATGTCTCAAGTCATTGAGTTGCACCCTATGTAAGTCACTAACCAGCGAGTCATCATAGCCCAAGAGACGGTAGTTTGGTACAGCTTTCTTTCACATAACAGCACCATATCTTGAAATGACCACCTCTCCTTTTTTGAACTCTATCCCATGGTTGGTGAAAAATGAAAAGTGTGAACGTTGATAAGATGACTTCCGTAACACATGTTCAAGCCAGTGAAGTCAATTTTTCAATGTAGTAACACTGATTGAATTACCACCGGTGCGCCCGAACACATGGACAAACTTTAGCGCTAATTACTTCCTGTTGCCCTGAATGTTAATAATAATCCGTAGACAACGATTATTGAACACATAGTGCCACCAGATACCTTCAACACGAAGTGGTCAGGTTAATTTGTTAGAAAATCTTAATGATTCAAGAAATAGTTTGAGTAAAACCTAAAAAAGTGAGGGTCGTTTAACATTTATACTAAATTAGTATAGGCAATAATAACAATAGTATAGTAGTAAAAATTTAAACTTTCACTGATTGTACCATATAATACTAAACGAAGTATTAAAAAAACTATATCAATATTGTTATTTGATGTACGTTTTTATTACTACTTTGCATAAGATACTACTTATATCAATATAAGTAGCACGCACCACACAATATCTTAGAAATTCGTGTGAGAAAAGTATGATTTTCCTAATAATTAACTAAAGCTAAACATGTTATCCGTTTATTGATCAAAATATATTTTACATAAGCTTGATATCAATATAAACAACACAGAATGATTCTTGATTCGAAACTCAAGTACTAATGTGTAATTTGTTATTAAAATAAGAACTTAGATTGTAAAACATACACATAGATACACACACACACATAAGAAGACAGATTAATCATGTAAATAATTTTCTAATTTTAAAGATTGAATCGCTTACATTAAGAAAGTGTGTTTGGATGTATAATGCAATATTTGTAAAAAGACATACACACACACACAACGAGAGAGATTAAAAATTGTCTAGGTTGTCTGATTTGATTATGGTGTAAAAATGGTAATGAAGAAAACGACTGGTCATCTGATAAGTTTCAAAAAAGAAACTAAACAAGATCATAGACTTAAGAAAATATTTTTAAAAAACATTTATCTTGAGTATTTTATTCGACAAGATTATCTTAACTTTTTTCTCAAAGCTTTACAGAATAAAACTTACACTATAAATGTATACACCAAATTATTTTTGCGTACTTAATTATGAATCTGAGCACTATATTGTGGAGATGTTGAGTCGGCTTTCTGAGAACTGCAACGGAGCCGTAGAGTCCTAGCCAATCAGAACATGATGAAGCTTTCTAGAATATCAACGTAGCGTGCTACTATTGGTCAGTAGCACAATATGTCTTCTAGCGGATTGGCCAAAATATGATGTTCATTTAACAAATGTTAACACCTATAAATACCTGTTTTTCAGTACAAAAATAAACCTTTGGAGTAAAGTGCTTTTCGCTTATTTTGCGCCTTTTCTCTCGAGTTCAGGTCGCCGCGTAGTTCTAGCTTGCGGGTTACCAGAATAGCTTAAGAACCGAATAAAGCGTTCAAATTAACAAGACTTATCAGAGACATGGTTTCGGATTCAAAGTGATTGTAAAGGTGATGAGTACCTTGTCCTACTTTGTGTATGGTTTCTTAAATAACACCGTTTTTTATTCATATGCAATCATCATTCCTACAAATAAATTCAATCTGGAAACTGATGCCATCTTAAACACCACAACTGATAAAAACAGAATTCTTAATATTTGATTTTCTAAAGTATATATCATCCAACTCAGACTATATAGTGCAGTAATATGAATAAAGATGATCACTGACAAAAACAAAACACCGTAGAATTGTGTTGTCATGATTTTTAATCCCATACATTATCGAATCTTGATCGTTTAATTTTCGAAGTTAGTATGATACTTGCAGTTTGAAACTCTCTTTGGTGAAGACTTCTCATATTGAATACATTTCTACAAACTTTCCATTAAATAATCACCAAGTGTTGATTGGTATCTTATCTCGAAATAAATGTTCAAAAGTGTCAACGATAAGTTGAATTGAGTTGAGCTAAATATGGTTGATTACCAACTAATCTCTTTCATTTACCTCCGAATTAGTTGTTATTTAAGCGATACACTTTACCGTCCTTCATATAGTGATAAGGAAGTAATAAAATATTTCGATTAGTCTATACACAATCCGATTAACGAAGCGTTTGGTAATCATTTATTTATTTAAACACAGAAACATTGGTACAAGGAGGCACCAAATACATATGCGCCACATAAATCATTCGATTTGTGTGAGGGCTGGATTACTGCCCGGGTGCCCAGACCGAAGCAGGCAAATTCACAGTTATATAATATACCCTTGTGGGCCAGGGTAGTTTTACATTGGTTTTCAGGAGAATCAGACACCATCCGGACTTTCACGTGAAAACCCAAACAGTACAGCTCAACCTCGTTTAGCAAGGAAACCAGACACCGTATAGGCTTTAACGCTACAATCTGAATAGTACAGCTCAATCCTGTGGCGCAACCACACAGGTACCAAGCACCCTGGTGGACCATAAGCTAAGTAGTTCAAACAATTTTCATTTCCCAAATCACATGTATACAGCTTAGTGATTAAATCATTAAACCTTCAGTAAATCAATAAAATTCAGTATTTAAAACCATTCTTTTCAATGATTCATTTCAGTTTCAACAAATGTGATAAATGAAATTCTTATAATTTATATAATAACAAAGTACTAACTAACCTGATGCTCTTTTTTGTATTAAATCCAAATAACTATTAATAAGATCAATAGTTTCAAGATGTCCACCAGTTTCTTGAACATAATGTCGAATCAAAGGGAGAAGACCTGGAAATGTACTCTACGATAAAATGGAAAGCAACAGAGATAAATAATTAATCACTTACAGGAAGTAACACAAAGTTATAATAATATTAATAACATTGAAGGAAATTTAACACATCGGATGGTATCGTAGAAATACACTGGGAATGAATTGTTATTTATTCACATTATTAACTCACGGTCTTATCAGTTAAAACGCGAGGTCAAAATCAATAAACTGAAAATATTCACCAGAGAAACTATGCAAAACTGACAGTTATTTCATCTGTAATTACGAATGTGGCTTGAAAAGAATGAAATCAGAATTTGAAAGTACCCCTGAATTCTTTTAAAAAATTGATACTTTGTCCTATGATTATTTTATACATGTTTAATCAGTATGCAACTTTAAGTATGACATATGTAGCAGCAGCGACATACTAACGCTATGAGATATGTTGATAAAAGTATTACCTGAAGATAGGAAAAAATGGATGATTGCAAACTGGAAATCGATAAAAGGGAAACAACCGTAAACAATTTTCCGTATTTCATAATTCAGCTGTTAACCAGTCGATTCCTACTTTTACATTTGCCATCATATATTTTACTTATTCATTTAATTATAGTAGTCAATTTGCTCATATTTACTTGATTGTTATTACTAACTAAACAGACCGTATTGAGAAAATTTTCAAACTACAATATAAATAATTATGAAAATTTCTATGTAGTCGTTGTTGTAAAATAAACTTATAAATTTTGACGGAGTTTTGTTCTCTGGGCTGGATCATTTGATCGTGGGGCTTTCATCATTCTTCTGGACGACATCATCAGCACAAACTTCAGGTGATGGTGATGTCGTTCAGAAGGATGATGAAAGCTCCACAACCAAACACCATCCAGCTCAGAGAACTCCACGAAAATCATCAACCTGAGCTACAAATCTTCTCTACCATCTCAAAACTTATAAATGCTAATCTAATAACCATATGTGATGCTTTATGTATTGTATTTTTAAATAAATCTTTTTCTATGATACCTAATAACACTAGCTAATTGCTTAAATCCAAGTACACAGAGTTGGACTAGAGATGATGAATTAATTTTCAAAATTTTAAGTATTTTAACCAACACGCAATAAAGATTAATTTTTGTTTACAAAATTACAGCTATTCCTTCTTTTATTATATCATTTCACGTTTTTTTCTTAATTAAGCAGAAATAGTTTTTTTTTTAAGAAAAACGTCTTAATGCCATATTTTGCCTGTTAAATATGAAAAGTTAAAACATTTATTACATGACTGTTAGAGAAAGTAGTTTAAAAAAAAGAAGCATACAACTTAAATCATATGAATCTATAATAATAATAATAATAATAATAATAATAATAATAATAATTATTATTATTATTATTATTATTATTATTATTATTATTATTATTATTATACTTCCACTTTTGAGTGCAAGTCAGCAGCTTTAAACGTGATAATAGGTTATAGGTATCATTACCAAGGTTTGATTTGATATTTTCGAGTAAATTGAACATTAGGTAAATTGTTATAAATAAATTAATACATTTGTAATTAATGTTTAACTTTAATTTTTGTTATTTATTCTATGAAGAAGTGACTTACACTGAGTCACGAAGCATCAGAAAATTTAATTTTTCTACTCATTGAGATATTACAAATATATTTATTTATTTATGATAATGGGTTAGTTTGATTATTACTATAATCCAAACTTTTAGAATTTAGTCGTAAATGGTTTGTGCCATTTGTAAACCGTAAAACTATTATGGGGCATGATAAACGAAGATAATTCTAACAACAAATTTGATATTGTATACAATACTTTTAGTTTCTATTTTAGTTTCAACCTAATTCAACTCTTGGGATAGAAAAAACGAATTAGTGGGAGAGAACAAAAAAGATTGAGTCTACATCCATCTTACTTCAAATATATATATATTAAATACTTAGTATACATTGCTTAAAAGTCCGCTCTTCCTCTCGAAATACTTTCACATAGCTACGCGTATATAGCCACTACCAGGAAAGTCCTACTCACTCAGGGGAATTGGAAAACTCTGATTCCAAACCAATGGTGTATATGATCTACAGGATCCTGAGGGAACAATTGGCATATGAACCTATTGTTGGTCACCGGCTATCATGGGACTGCATCTCCTAACGTTGCTCCACTGCATTGTGGATTAGACCTTTAGGTCAAAGACTAGAAGAGTGGCCTCCTATGTTCTATGTGAACTAGTCTCTAAATATCTTCTACCTTGATAACTTTATATGTATTTACTAAACCCAAGAAATATTATCCTTTTAGAAATAATCAAAATTGGTTTTTAAACACATATGACCTGTTTAAAGGTGTACATTTCTGTTCCATTAATGTTACTTTAAACTGCACGAGGCTAGAACTACAATAATTGCAATACTTCTTCAATTTTTATCATATCAATACCATTTCTAAAATACATGATAGGTTGGAAATCAGGATTAATAGTTTGCATGGTCGATTCAAATTTAAGACCACTCTATGCGTAAATAATAAATTCGAGTATTGAACTGAGAGTTGATTTATTATTTGTATTTTTTAGAACCTATAGGAATTGTATAAATAACTCTATAGACAATGTTCGAACAAGACGTTTTCGTGCAGCATGATGCTGATAATAATAATTTAATTCGATCAAATGATATATACGTATTATCCATCAAATATACTACTGAATAACATTAACAGTCAATCCATTATTTTTGTTCCTATATTTTCACACGCTTGATAAATTATAGAATTCATCATTTCTTACACCTTTAAATCCATATATAGCACCAGATAAGAAGCTGAGTGATCACAAGTTCTTTGAAATTTTGACTAAGTACCATATTTAAATCAAAAAGCCATAACATTAGAACAATTTACCAAGTTTAATAAAAAGAAAAACTAAGAAATTTTCGATACAAAAATAAGTAAGACATTGATAATTGACTAATTACTCTTCAAACAAAAAAATAGAAATACAATGATAATTAATCGTTATAAATTGATCTTAGGATAGACTAAAATAACCATAAATCCTCTTTAGATCTTCAACTACAAAGAAATATGCCCATGAAAAACGAAGTCATATATAGATGAGTTCATTGTGCAACACATTAGTAAATATTATAACACAAAATATTTCAGTCTATATTATGCAGCTAATTATCAGCAACCTCGGACCTAACACATATATGCATCGGTTCACGTTGTCATACTGAATCACTGTACTGAGAAGAAATTATCAAAGTGAATAATGAAGTAGAAGTAATATCAATGGTAGTAATAAAGTTTAGGCGAAGATTATCTAGTCTTCAACCACTGATCATGATAATAGTGCCAACCGTAACTAGGTAGTTTGAACTTGTCAATATAGTTTAAACCAACAGTCAATGACTAAATGGACTGAAGCTGGGACTTGGTTTGATAGACCACAGCCTATTCCAGCCTACTTCTTTCTATGCCAGCCAAGATCGAGTGTCAAGTTAGGAGGTAGTTAACCATACGTAATACATGTCCCAGATACCAATTTAGTATATTATAAAGTAAGAATCATATCAATCAAACTTACATGGTAAAGTATATATACACATATATTGTTAATTAGAAATTAATAAATGTTTTGATCAAACTTTTTATGAGGAAATATAAGCATAAACGATATAGATCAATCCCAAATACATATTTGCTAATGTTTTACATAGACGAAAATCAAAACTTTTCACACCAGTTGTCTTGAAATATACTATAAAATTGTGTCCTTTGTTTACATAAATTCAACAGATTAACTGTAGTTGTTATTATCAATAACAGTATAATAAATTCATTATAAAATAAACAATTAGATAATCCACCAACAATTTCAAACATATACCCACTTATGATTAAAATGATAAATGTATATAGAAACTGTTTATATTGAAATGTAATTATGTAAATCGCCTCAAGATTTAAAATAGAATAGCACGAGAAACGATATGGAACCATTCGAAAAAAACGATGCACACAAATACTTAACCAGTAGAAACCAGAAACCACAGATCAGTAGTTAAATCCTGAGGTGGAGTTTTGTTTCATCCAAATGAGCTACAAATATTCTCTACTATCGCATGTTATATTCCAGTTTAAAATCATAACTTAGTAGTTTGATACGTGTTAAACCAAAATAAAACAGCTGCACAGTGCTCCCTAGTTCTGAATGGTTATCTAGCTGATACCAGTGAATGATGATGATCTCTTAGATGAGTTAATACTCTGCTATTATATAAACAATGGAGTATAGTCAAATGAGACCACATCCTTGTGTATTATGTTTTCTGTGAGATTTCTGGAAGTGGCTCAAAAGTTCTGAACCTAATAATATTCTATTATTATTTTAAATAATCATCGTAACATTGTGTTCGCTAAGTAAGCCTGGTAAGAAATCGAAAGTATAAAATTGCTTGTACTTAGTCTTAAAATACAAATATACGTTATATGATTTATCTGAAAAACTATTCCTACTTATTACTGGTAATAATAATCACATTAATAATAATAATAACGGTAATAATAATCTCTTACAGTTCCATTGATAATTTCATTCACCGACATTAACATATAGGAATCGTCTGGATTTACTTCAGCAAATGATGATGTCGAATTACAAGACGATGATGCGTTTACATATTGTTCATCACGACAAATTGTACATTTTGAATCAGAATGATCATATTGTGTAGAATAGGTACGATTGAATTTAAACTTGGAACATGATTTGGCTAAATCAACTGGAGTACCATCTTAAACAAACAATCAGATCAAATTAGGCCATAAATCATAAGGAATCATTGTCTCTAAGAAACTTTTAAAGGAATTCTGGGTATATACACTACAAATTAAATTAATTTTAAAGTGTGGATCAATAAATTTTGACTTAGTAGTCTCAGAACATGATCTCTACTGTGAGATCTGAAAATTATGGACTCAGGAGTGAGGATCTTGTATGTTCACTGTCAAAAAGTCTCGAACTACAATAAACCATTTATTCGAACCTCACTGTTTTACAACGAGTTTTCTCAGTTAATGTTGTTTCATAACGAAGAATAAAGCTTTTATAACTCAACTTATTCGACAAATTATGATATGCTGTTAAAACTGTAAGAATACTATTATGATAAAATCATAATTTTTAGTTAAACTACATAAAATATATGTGCAATAGTAAGAAATTATACGTTAACAAGCAAAAAAGAACTTCAATGATGAACCATTAAAGTAGTTAGTTTATAAACTAGAAATTTTAAATGAAAAATATTTACAATTATACCTGTGGTTATTAAATGACCTTGTTTAAAATAGAATTTCTCATTAAGAACAGCATCACGTTTTAAAGCTGTTGCAATGTTTTCATCAACTTTTGAAAGTGGGATTAGTAAATTCAAATTAAACTTTAATATTGTTCTAGATAATAATAAAATAAAAGTGACAAATGCAGCATTTTCAAAATCTGTTAATTGTAATTCAGTTGGTCGAAATTCAACACGCCATCCTATTGATGAATTCAATGGTGGAGGCTTAAAGCGCATTGACTGCCAATTGGTGGATTGAATAGTCTAATGAAAAGAAATAAAATGAAAGATATTTAACATGAAATGAATGTTCATTTAAGGAAATGTTAACAGAAAAAACAAAAACAAAACGTTTAAGCTTTTATACTTGTTGAAATTAATTAAGAAAGTCGCATTGCATTCAAAGTATTCAACTACTCTCTGATATCTAAGTAAAACACAATTAATGTGAAAGTTAATAGCCTAACAATTAAAATTCCAAATAACTTTATTAACCGAAATAATTTTCTTACGTGTAATGATATAGAAAAGTCCAAACGCTATATTCCTTGTAAATGTTTTGCAAAAGGGCAAACGAAACCATTTTTTCTAAATCACTACTCTCTGTGACCATTTATTCAATAAAGTAACAATAATTCAATAAATTAAAATAGATTAGTTTTCATCACTGACTGTTCTTAACTAAACAACTACTGAAAGGTATAAAGCACTGAACAGCTACTTCACCTCAATATGAAACTCCTCAGTGGTGTACATCCACAACCACATCAAGGATCGAACCCAAGATCTTTGAGCTTGAAGGGAAGTACATAAACTGTATACCAATGAGCTGGCGTCCAATGGTAAACATGCTTAACTCCAAACAATTAACGATACTGAGAAACCATCCCCCAAAAGTAAGCAACTGCCTTACATTCTACATGACTAGAATCCGATGGTCAAGGCTTCCGACTAGAACTCCAAGAGTTACCTCTCGAAATCAAACGCTAGTGACATCATTATTACTACAAAAATTAAAATATATCAAAGTCAACTTATATTAATCTTTACCTTACAAACTAGTTCAACAAGAAACTTACTTCAAAATGTTCAACTGTTTCTTCATTTTCTGGACAATTCAAACTTTCAGAAAACACACTGATAGGATCTCGTATAAAAAGATGAGCTACATGTAATGCCAATGTATGATCAACACCTTTGTTAGTAAATGAAATATAAAATAATCTTTGATTAACGTATTTTAAGAGTGCTAAACTTACTATGATCTGTTATGTTTAAGTAAGAAAATAATTTGAGCATAAATAATGTCTCTGACAACAGCTTTTTTTAAAGCCCTAGTTTCTTATTCGTTTGGACAGTCTGTTTTAATTTACAGAACAGTAATTAAATTTCCTTACTCATAGATTATTTTTAGTTCCACTTAATAAAAAATTCTTGTTCAGCACTGATGCATTGGTGAACAATACAACAGCCCGAGTACATTATGAACATTGTTTCATCTCTTCATATCAAATCATAATTTTTCTGCTATGTAAGCAGTTTCGTTACTATTATCATATCAAACAGCTATTTTGCTATATACATATATTTGATTTATTGAATAGCATGCTTTTAGTCTCCAAATGAAGACAACCTTCGTCAACAATCACTCAACTAGTGTGTTAAGCCAAATTAACAACTTGATGTGAGACTTTCAAACAATTAACAAGCAATCAACTTCGTCAGTGTAACAAAAGTGTCTTTTAGATGTGACCTCATTTATTGGTCTGTAAATATACATTAGATTGAATGACATAGATTCCTTTGTTTCACTTTTAACGAAAATCCTATTTTCGTACTATAGGACCTTCATTCTAGTATGTAACTTAACTGTATGACTGTGAAAAATGATCAATAAAGGTAGGACAACGTAAGAAACCAAGAGTTATCACATATCAAATAAAAAAATAAAGTTATTTTGAAGAACATGTTAATTTGGTTACTATCGACAAAAAATGGAAATTTATTCAAAAAAGCGACGCTGGGTAAGAAAGTATGCATGAATTTTCTTGTGGTAGCGAAATGTAACTCCTCGATTTAGAAATTATAGTTAAGCTATTAATTTGAAATAATCTCTAAAATCGAAGGAAAGATAAATAATCTGTGCAAGAGCAGATTTATAAGTGGCTAAGCGGAAAATGTCAAGATCAATGGTTCAATTAATTTTTCCCTAAAAGATAAGTGTTGAAATTGACGAAATGACGAAACACAGGGTTAAAAAACTTTTTATTACTACGATCGTATAAAGATATGAATAGTTAGACATATGGAATGTATTATATAAAGAAATTTAAAAACCAGTTCATGGGGCAATCCGGTTATACCTTAAACAATCAAGAACAGTGTATTTCAAAAGAAACTATCAAGCTTGTTAAAAATTTAATTTTTAAATAGGTAAAGTATTTAACATGACAAAAGACACCAGAGATACTCTTCTGTGTGCAATTCAGTTATTCAAAGGTAGGGTTCAAACCTATCATCAAGTGGTTGGAAGTTGAGTCCATTAACCACTAAACAATCGATTCCCTAAATGACATGAAAGTAAGATAGATAAAAAAATAAGAAATTGACTAGACGATAAAAGATCAATTTACAACGCTAAGATAACAATCGTAGATTACTTTCTACAAACTAACTTGCCTCCTTCAATTAAAGTATTATAATAATCTTTATTATAGACAAGTGGAATATCATTGAATTTAGCGCCCATTGGGGAAAGGTAAAAAGAAACTGATGCAAAGCGTGATTTAGGAATAACAAATTGATCGTTGCAGAGAGGCTGAAAATTAGAGAGAGAGAGAGAGAAAGAAGTGATAAAAGCAGTTATATGGAAGAAAATAATTCCTAACTTAGCTTTACGTACAAACAAACAATCATAAATATAGTAATGTTTGGTAAAGTCATTCAGATTTTTCTAACAAAATCTTTGAGGAGACTTAGAAAAGTGGACAATCTAGCGTCAATGATACTTTGTAAAGTATAGTTCTTACAGAAATTACCATCAATTCGTAATTTAGTGTTATTCCATGACACTTGAGTCTGTCAGTCATATGCAACGTGGAATCCAACACATGTGCATCGGCTTAGGTTACCACACCCTATAAACACAGAGAGTTAACATTATCAAAACAAATCGCAGAGTAATAGAAGTAGCAACAGCGTCAATAGTATTAGGTGATTTTGGGACTCAATATCTAGGGGAAGACGAAAAATGAATGCGCCTGGGTCATAGCAAACAATTCTGCTCCTTATTGTATTAAGTTTTTAACAATTACTTATGAAAATCACGTGGACCCCAACTGCATAGTTTGCACTCACCTGCATTACTCGGTCCACTCGTCAATGACCTCACGGACCGATGAAACGTTTTCGTTTGGCCGCCCCTAGCCTTTCTCTAGCCTACTCCTACAACCGGTAAGCATCGCCTGTCGAGATAAAACATAGAAGCTTAATACTATAATAAAAACATTCTATAAATAACTTCGGATGGGGGAGAGGAGTGTTGGACCAGTTGATGAAAAGGATGGATATTTTATCGTCCTTCCATGTACTCACGTACATCTATAACGTTTGTAATAATTTCAATTATTAAATGGTTTTTCCTAGGATTTATAATTTTTTGTTAACTGTTGTGTGTATGTGTAACCTGACAACAGTAAACTGAATATTTCTAGAATGGTTATCATGATAAATCATTTACTATGAAAAATAGCTAAAAATGAGTTACATTGTCTAAAGTACACGAATTCATCTTCGGTTTTAATATTATTTCGAATACATTATTCCCTTCAACTCCATTCATTCTTTTTTAACTAAATTCTATATTTAGTATTCTATATTTACTATCACTGATATTATCTCGAATTCTTCCTATTCAATTTGTTAATTTTATCTAGATATAATTAAATGACATAGCAACTTTGAACGGTGCAATATTTGTTCAAAGTTCTACTTTGATTGTAATTGACTGGTGCTCTATCAAAGTTATGTTCAATAAACTACGTATAATTCTTTACGTGCACCGCATTTTTAAATGATAAAAATGAACAAAACATAAACCTTAATTCCTCGCTCCTCTTCTGTTCGATCATCAACTGATGCGGATATAATACCCCAACGGCAGTCCCAATCCAGTAAGTAGCCTCGGATGGCAGGAGTGGCTGCGCTTAAAGCCATAACAATTGGGCATATTGTCGCTAGCTGATCGTATAAGATCCTGGCTTCGTCAATGCAACATGCCTATGATTCGAAAGAAGTAAAATAATTGATACAGACAATGATGTAATAATATGAAGTAGAGTATCAAACATTCAGTCAGTCAGCTGAAACGTAGGACCAGGCACATATATGCATCGGTCCAAGTTGCCACACCTCATTAGCACAACAAAATGAACACCAAATTCATAGCATTACTTACTTCGATCGTGGTAATATATAAAAGAAAGATTGCATATAAGGATATAATACAGGTAGAAAGAATTAGTTCGTAGAAAGAAAGATATGAAATAATGTTAATCTCATAGTTTAAGAGAAGACAAAGAGTGTATACACCGACGCCATTGTGATCGATTCTGAGCCATGTCACACAGATTCTCCAACCACTGGTTACGAGTCACGCGGATCCCAACCAAGTAGTCTGCATCTACCAACATGGCTAAGATCAGAAGTTAGTGACCTTAAGCACTGATGCCACGTTTTGGTTTGGCTTCCCCTAATTCTCTTCCAACCATCCCCAACACTAGTCAGTATTGCGCGTCGTGGTAATTGGTGTTCAGGCAAACGCAACACGTAACCCAACCATCTCAGTCGATCAAGATTCACAACCTCACCAACTGATTTACTATCATTCCCTAATACCATGCGTCTAACCTCACTATTACTTACGCGGTGATTCCAGCAGATGCGAGCAATATTCCTAAGGGATCTGTGGTCAAATTACACATAAAAGTTTGTTATTCCTAGTGAAACTGATGTAAATAATTCAGCTATGCAGTAAGTTCGCTAATTGTTTACTGCTCCATTGTCTAATAATCCAATGATGTAACTTTAATTGTAGTATTTTTTAACTAAAATACAACTCAACTCCTACACTAAACTGCTAACAAAGCTTATTTTTTAAAATAAAAATACTTATAAAACTGTTGTTGGTTATGTCCATAACTAACCAATCAAATCGTTGCTTAAGCTCCCACCAAGTCAATCTGATCTGATGGGTCTATAGACTATCCCTGTTGTATGTAACCTGCCAATTGAAGGATATTATTATCCTGTTATATTAGTGACTCATAATTCTTATTCATTTCTATAAGACACGCAATACTGATCGGTATGTTTGTGCGTTCCACTCAATGACTATAAATCTTTAAATTATTCCACTAATCTAGTTCTTATTTTTAAGTTTAGAAACAGATAGAGTTTAAAGCCAAGTTGTCCTTGGTCTGACTATAGCTCTCACGTAGACTCTGTGGTCGCCAGTACCGCGTTTACAGTTCTAGAACATCTGTAGGACAAATTAAATCCTACAACTGTTACTGACGTAAAGGTACATAAATTAACTTTCATCAAAAATGTTAACATTCTTGTAATCAGTAGAATAATTTATCTAGATTATACACACTGCTATGTGAAATACTAAGTGAAAAAGCACATGGTCAGTAACAAAAGGTTAGATCATAGAAGTTGATTAATATATAAAACACTTGGATCAGATAGTAAATAAACCAAACAAAATATATAATCTAAGTAATCATGAATACAAATGTTTCCACACATAAAGTAATAAGTTATAGAGAATTACTTCAGGGATTCGAAGATTGCCAAAGCAACGGTAGCATCCCTACGATTCAAAAATATCTGGGACTCAAAACAACTGCCAACCGACATCAAAGTCAGAATGGATACTACAACCATCCTCAGAAAGGTACAGATTTTTATAAACAGCTATGTATATAAGATACTCCATATCCGTCGGTCGTATACTATCAGCAGCAACCTACTATAGCAAGAAACAAACCAGCTTTCAGCTGAAGATGAAATCAAGAAAACATTTTGGAGGTGGGCAGGACAAACATTGCAAAAATCAACAAACTGCAAAAAACCCAAAGAATGAACAGGATTTGGGAACAACTGAAAAGGAGAGCCCAGGGCAGAGTTGGTTGGAAAATCCTAATCGGCGGCCTATGCTTTATAAGGGGTAATAAGCGTAAGTAATCAGAATGGTTTCGACTAAATTAATTCTCCTTAAAGACTAGATAATATTATATGTTTCGGAGGTTAACATTGAACAGATACTTGACGTAAAAATATAGACTAGATAAAACTTCTTCAATATTCAGTATTTCTTTATTTTCAAAATATTTTTCTTCAATGCGTGGCAAAGTAATGTAAATTTATGAATGATCAAAAGACCAACATGAGAATTAAATGGATTGTCCAATTAATACGAATGTTTGATAAAATAAAAACTGAGTTACTTATCCAAGACACAAAAAATTAGTATGTTCATATATATTCTTATTTAAAGGAATTATACTGTGAAAGAAACGTGAATCAAGTCCTCTTTTGTTTGAATGGTTGACTCTGACCAAACTACTTGAAAATGTTTCATACATTGAAATTTTCATAGAATATAAAGCAATAATTCAATCACTATAGAAGTTTAACTCACCGATAATTAATGAGCTATATGTGATTTCACATTGTTCAAAGAATCACCAAAACTACTATTTATAAGTAGATCATATCTTTGTAATGACTCTACCATACACACAAACATACTGCATTCAGTTGAGAATAACTTACTGATTAAAGACCTATATTGTACTATTTTTACTATGTTTATTTATCATGACAACGAAAATAATATCTAACATGTCTGGTTTTAACGTCTAATGACCGTACAAAACAAACAAGGTCAAAAGTACAACCGAAATGTATTTCTTATAATTTGTAGACAATCTACTGAAACAAAAAATATGAAAACTAGTGATAACTAAAACAAAAATATAAACGCGCTTATGGACGACTACGAAATTAATTTTACCATTCAACTACGTACATTTAAACTGAAGCAGACGCTAGCCTAAAGAGATGATTGGGTATATCTTCGACGTGAAAGTATAAAACATAAGAAAGAGGTATTTTTATAGCAGATAACAAACACCATTAGTTTTTTTGGCTGCCTGCCTCGTTAAAACCTTACAGCACATTCAAAAAACAGTTTCTCGATTGATCTCCAACAACTCAATAGTTGCTTTTTACAAGCCTTGCTAAGAGAATATCAGGTTTCTTGGATGATTATAGTATGCATTGTTTTTTAACCGAGGAGTTAAAAGACGTCAACATCATGCTCTGTAATCTGAAGTTGGAGGAAAACTGACCTAATAACTCATTGCATTAATGTTGAGCTATGTAAATGTTTTCCGGATTCAGTTTAGCCAGAAATGGAGGATGTACACTACAAATGACCAAAAACCGTAAAGAAATAGATGCTCCTAGAAATCTTTATTATCAGTGATTTGGTTTCAGTTTCGAATGAAAACCATCCTCTAAGTTATGGAGATTCCAAAAAAGTATTCAAACCATTTACTACATAATTGTCAAATTTGTTTGTATGTGTGTAGCAGTTTTACTAAATTTTTCCTAAAATTCGTAACAATTAAACTTCCATCTATAAACACTGATCATTAAGTGGATAACACAAAGTTATTCTTAATTATAGTTCTTTGTAAATTTTACGGTATTAAATTTCGGTATTCTATTCCGTTACACCCTAATAATAACTTATAAACACAGCATATTTTTAGCCCTGCTTTTCATCAGTTTTTTTCTTGATAAGTTACCCCTTTGTTATGTTACATTATTTTAGTTTTCTACGGTTACTCCTTTGTGTCTATAAAAAGGGATTTCTGCCCTCAAGTATCAGAGTATTGGTCCACAATTTCTGGTACGCCAAATGTTTGATCTCCAACAGAAGCATGAGAATATGAAAAATGAAGTTACACACTGAACTTTGTGTTAATATAGAAAACCTCTTGCGTTTTATGACCAAAATAAGACAAAATTTAACAGTCTCCATATATTATTCAGTGGTATAATATGCTAGGTACGCTTTAGTCTGAGACAAAGAAATGTAGTTCAGTAATTTCTTACCACATCCTGTAATAATTAATAACTCATAACCATTATGAAACAGTTAGTAATACTAAATAAATTTCCAAATATTTGCGTATGGTTTGGTTGATTCACAAGCTCACTAATATTTAAGTGTCTAAACCAAGGCACTGCTTCATGTAATAACAGACGAATAAAAACTTCGAGTAGAATTGGATATTTTCAAGTTAAATAATGACAAGAAGTACTGTTTCAAAACAGAGAAAACATACCTGGAAAGTGATCTGTAAACAGCTACAACCCATTCCGAAGCCCATAGCATCTAAATAAACATGATTCGGTAAAGCTGCAGATGTTGAAGTGGGATCATTTTGATTTGGGAAATTTTCAATAAATGGTTGAGGTGTACATGTATCTCGATAAACTAAAATTATTTTATTGAAAAAGTCAAATGTCAACATACAAAAGAACACGTCTGAATGTCAAAACAATGAACAGGTACATGTAAATAAGAAATCAATACATGAGATACAGAACAATATTAGTTAAAAAATTCTTTAAAAAAATACATAAAAAAACTCCGTTTATACATGAAGAAGAGTGGAGGACTTCATGAAGTTGAGAAAACTTTCATACGGAAATATTATTGATTTATATTATTTAAATTATTTATTTATAAAATGTGATCATGAGTTCCAATTCATAAATAGTGACAAGCTTCGTGGGGGAATTCTCGGAGTCCTAGTGAGAATCCGTGGTCAGTGGAGTTAGTTCGTGTCGGGTAGAGACAGGTATCTACCTCAGTGCAGTGGAAGATGGTCGTGCAATTTCGTGGGTTGGTTGAGGTTAGACGTAAACACCGTTGGATGCCGGCTCAGTAGCCTAGAGGTTAGGCATTCGCGCGCGAGGCTGAAGGCCCTGGGTACACACTGCCGAGGAGTCCCACAATGATATGAAGCGGCCGTTCAGTGCTTCCAGGTTTTTGATGGTGGTCTAACATCAATCTTAATAATGTCCACAACCCCATACTGATAATAAATAATAAATTATTTCTAGTAAATAACTTTTTGTACTCATTGTAGATAGTTTTTTGAACTTATGATTTGATATAAAAGGCAATATCGAGGCAATCCGAACAGTATGCATATATGCCAATAAGAGACTGATCAACTGCAGTTCTAAACATCAATGGGAGGATTCAAACAAATAATACAAAACGAATATAAATGGATATTTTATAAATATCCCCATGAACATAAACAGATCCTTTTTAATATAATTGATTCAATATACAATCAACACTCAACAAACAGAATGTAAAGTTCATTAAACAATTAAATTTTATTAGATACTATGTTAGCGGGACATAGACTGGATTAAAGCATGCTCAACGCACGATTGCTTTGGTGCACGCTGATTGGCTAATTATTATCCAATCAGCACTAGTCGATACTTGGAGAATACTCTAGAATCTTCTCATGTAAAAACTATAAATATACTGACGTTTTTCCCTATTGTGCTTCTTACTTCCATCTAACCTTGTTATTTGGAATATAATCTCTTTCCTGTTCAGCCGTGTTCTGATTTGGGGACTTGTCGAGTGATTCGGTGTCCAAGAATACTAAGCAATAAGAATAGCTGGGTCATACTGCAAAAAAGAGATTATAACATACTATTTATAGCTATTTTTCGAGAAACTCAGTTAAATGTTTTCAAACAAAACTAGAATAAATCAAAAATAAGGAATTGGCTTTTTACAAATAAATTCAAATTTTATCATAAACAATGATAAACAAAAACAATTATTATTGCTATTACTATTCATATCTTAACTGTTTGTTTTAATAATGTTGTTGAAAACGCATTGATCATAGACATTAGAAAATCCATTTCAGTTTATTTTAGAAATAAATAAAAATTCAGTATTATTCATCAAGATTTGTAGATCATCAGAAACACTAAACTACAAGCTCAATCAAAACGAAAATCCCAAATAATTTTAATTTAAACAAATAACAGAATGGATCACTATGTTTCGAACAGACTCTACGTTGGGATATGGTGGGTGGGTAATTACTCTCAATATTCCGTTCACCTACAATAATAATAATAATCTAACAAGGCATGGGTTTATGTTCTTGAACTTAGGCCACATTATTTGTATGAGGGATAACGATATTACTTGGGATCTCAAACTAAATCAAGGTAAAGTGGGGTTTAAACCACAGTTGTACCGGTTAAAAATAGGATGGATTTAGCAATTGAGCAGCCACTCATCGTAGTTTTGCACTTCTCTATTTAATGAATACAAACAATGTTAGAAAATGACACAATGATTAAATCAACCAGAGTTGACTTAAAACCTATCCTGATTGAATGAAATTTGGTATTAGACATATATCTCTAAATGAATTATGATATTTAAAAAAAAGCCTTTTTGCGACTGTTAGAACTTGGAAGAAGAAGAGTCCAGACATTTGATTAAGAAATAATTATGTAAGTCATTTTCAATTAATGTATAGAAAGGAAAGAAATAGCAGTAATCAATTGTGTAGAAGTTGGAAGGTTAAAACGAGGTATACACAAAACATGGGGTTAACTTGACAGTGTGACTCACAAGTGCAAAGAAAAACCAATGAATCACCTTACCTATTGACCAAAATCCATCCGCTCTCATGATAGTATTAAAGAACAGCTAAACACTATTCGTAACTAACATAAGAATACATTCCCATCAAAGTTAATCAACAAGTGCATGAAACACATAGATGAGACCTAAAATAACAGCAGTTTTAAGCATAGAATTATCTTCAAAATTGGAATTTATAATTGAGGTCTCCGGTAAGATTAAAATGCAATCCATAAGAAAAACTCAGAAGTGAAGATTCAATAGATCCAATCTATACATTATATTACAATCGTCTAATTTTAGAAACCGCATAAATTTACTCCTTTTATGTAAAGTCTGTGTTAGTGGGCGTAGAGTAAAGCAAGTTTACTGTCGATTATCTGAACATCATCAGCAATAGTTAAACAGACATAAACGAAGATTAGTTTAGATCACTAGGCTTTTCTAACTTTTAAAAGTTGAAATTAAAGAAAGATTAGCATTATTCAATTAAGTTTCCATGTTCTTAATGAAATAAATAAGCAGATTTAATATATACTTGGTAAATAAATCATTCTTATTCGTCTGATGTGCACTGGCAACAATTTGTTTAATAATACACTTACTATTTAACATTATCAGATTGAACTGAATTACTCAGCTGATATTCTTATTTGCGTTTCCAATTAAATATCCATATGTATTGCCAATGTACATAATTGACAAATAGAAATGATTTATGTGTAAGCATGGATTGTGAACTGACATTTTTTTAATAAATGTTACAAAAATATGACCTTAAATATAAAATTTACATACATACATTAAATCGACTTAAATAAACCACTTACTGGGGACATTTATAGCAACTTTAGCTCCACGCCGTTCACGAATGTTACGCGTTAGCGTTCTAGAAAGAAAAGAACACGTAAAGTGGTAGACAAAAAATTTAGAAGTTATGTTATATAAAAATGTCTTAACAAGTATATGTGTGATTAGATTGTTCGAAATGGATTGCGCAAATATATCACTTAATTCTGATAAACTTTGTCTTTTCAATGCATTATCGAAAGTCATGTTACTCTACTCAACATTAGACCAAATAGAGCTGATATCACTGTACAGTATTCATAAGATAAGGATCTAAAAGGTGAATAAATAAAGATTACTTATGTCGATGAATAAGTGAAACAAATATTTTCCGATGGACAAACCGAATGAAGTTAGTGACTTTGTTTCGACCGTTTAAAAAAAAACGCAAGTTTTTAGAATTTAGTCTTTAAGTTTAGACTCAAAACCCATAAAAATGGTCCAAATTTGTCGATTTTCCGTCTCTTTGAAAAATCTTTAGTACCTTCATCTATTTGCCCACCCCCACCCCACTTAATTATGACTTATTCTAGATTAATTTTAAAACTTTCCTCTACTTTACAGAAATAGATGGAGTCTTATGTTCGTCAGTTTATCTATATTAACACGTAACGTGTACGAACACGTCAGGTTGAGTAGGGGATTTTTAATATTTAAAAAATCGGTTATTAAATCACAATCCCATTGAAAATTTAATGTATTTGGTTCCCATTAAAAAAATAACTAGTACTCAAATTACAATCCATTTAAATTTACCTAAAAAAGTCATTACTGGTGAAAAAACCAACCATTTTGAAATAACGGTAAAAGTTGAATCTTCTAGGGACATCTTATTATTCTAATAAATTGATATTGGACAAAGTAGAAATAGGTGTTTTTAATTTGGAACCTAAAAAATGTAAGAGCTTTACAATGAGGCAATTCATGTCTGAATGATGTGTGGTTTGATGTAGTAATTCAATTTAAATAGTGCACAGAACATGACTTAAATTGCAGCAAAGTATAACACTGTAACCTTTGTCTACAATTCGATAAGCAGTTCCCGGCTATTTTACGACACCAAGTGTTCATGCCTTTGAAACTACATTTTTAAATAAATTAACAACAATAATTACACTGTCCTTTGTGATATATGATACTTAAGTGAGATATTTGTTGAGAGCTGTAGAAAAATAAAATGTATAATCATTACGGCATATATATATATATCATGAAACTTATATGAACATTATCAAACCCTTAGTACATAGCTAATATATATTATTACACTAGTATAATTTATTTTCAAAATATATTTCATCACTAATGACATTTCCCTATATATTTAAGTTTGCAAAGTATGAGAAATAAAGAGAATAGTGTACAAACAAAACAGGAAAAGTGAACAACACGAAAAATTGCAAAACTGTTTGCGTGCCAAAATAGCAAAACAATATTTAAAATGTACTGTATATCAGTAAATCGAACTATGATTAGATTTTTAATTTCAATTCATTGTCTGTGTGAACTTAGTTCAAAACAAAAAAAAACATTCAGAAGCCGTTACAATTCAAATAACAGAAAAATTCATTTCTCTAAAGCTTTTACGCTAACTGTCCACAAATTGCATAAAAAACATGTTATTGGCCGTTATTAATCTTAACTCCGCCTGTATTTCTTCTGGAGTTACTACCGATCCCAAAGCCGGAAAAAAGGAGGGTTGGGTATAGGGTCGACAACTCCAACCCATAGAGAAATACATTGCTAAAAAAACGTTAACCAGATAAAACAAATTAAACCATTTGAACTCTCCCCTCCGAGTTGAAGGAAGAATTATGATGCCTCATGATGGAAACCTAAATTCTCCGGAAGGCTGATGCCCCTACTGATAACCATTAATGTATATACATGGAATGTCCGCACAATGTAGGAGACCAGGAAGAACAGTCAGATAGCAACGGAAATAAGGAGATACAACTTGACAGTACTCAGAACAAAAGAAACCCACTGGACTCAAGCTGGACAGAAAAGGCTAGATATGGGAGAGATGCTGCTGTATTCCGGTAACGAGGAGGAAAATGCTCCGCACACACAGACCTTCTTATAGATGTCACTCCACCAACAACCGAGGAAATCAGGATGGCCATCAGACAAATCAAGAGTGAGAAAGCAGCACGACCTTGATGGTTTTGTTCTCTGGGCTGGATAGTTTAGTCGTGGAGCTTTCATCGTTCTCCTGAACGACATCATCAGCACCGGAAGTTTGTGCTCCACGACCAAACCATCCAGCTCAGAGAAAAAACTCTATCAAAATCATCAACCTGAGCTACAAATCTTCACCATCTCAGCAGCACGACCTGAGAGTATACCAGCTGAAGCACTGAATTCACACATAGAAGCAACTGCAAACATGCTCCAAATTCTATTGCAGAAAATTTGGAAGGAAGAACAATTGTCGATGGACTGGAAAGGACACCTCATCAAGATACCAAACAAAGGAGATCTGAGCAAATGTGAGAATTACAGAGGCATCACACTACTATCGGTACCGGGAAAAGTTTTCAGAGTGTGACTAAACCGGATATAAGATTCAGTAGACGGTCAGCTTCGAGATCGTGCACAAACTAAATTGCGACACCACAGATCATTACTGAACAATCAGTTTAGTGGAACTCGTCACTATACATCAACTTAATTGACTATGAGAAAGTATTCAACAGTGGACAGGAGAACCTTATAGAAACTTCTTCCACCTGAGAAGATCGTAAGCACAATACGAAATTCGTACGACGGACTACACTGAGAAGTCGTGCATCGAGGACAGATGCATTCCAAATAAGGACCGGAGTCAGACAACACTCCCTACTCTCCCCTCTTTCTCTTTCTCCTGGTGGTTGACTGGATTATGACGACCTCGACATCTCAGGGAAGCACAGAATACAATAGACAGCTCGGAATCCACTAGAAGATTCGGACTTCACAGATCACCTGGCCCTTCTATCCCATATACAACAACAAATCACAGTCAGTGTAGCAGCAGCCTCTGCATCACTAGGCCTCAACATACACAAGGGTAAAAGCAAGATCCTCAAATTTAACACAAAGAACATCAATCCAATCACATTTGATGGAGAAGCTCTGGAAGAGGTGGAATCTTCCACGTATCTGAGCAGCAGCATCGATGAACAAGGAAGATCAGATGATGATGTAAATTTATGGATTGGCAAAGAAGGGCAGTATTCCTACAATTGAAGAACATATGGGACTCTAAACAATTGTCAACCAATGTAAATCACAATCTCCAATACGGACGTCAAGACAGTCCTACGGTATGGAGCTGAGACTTGGAGAACTACTGCAGCCGTCATCAAAAACGTACAAATATTTATAAACAGTTGTCTACGCAAGGCCCTCAATGTTCGTTGGTCGGATACCATCAGCAACAGCCTGCAGTGAGAGAACAAATCCACTTCCACCTGAAGAGGAAATTAGGAAAATACGTTTGAGGTAGGTAGGATATACATTACGTAAATCATCAAACTGCATCACAAAGCAAGCGCTTACTTGGAATCCTTAAGGGAAACGAAAAAGAGGAAGGCTGAAGAACACACTACGTCGGGAATCGGAAGCAAACATTACAAGGATGAATAGCAACTAGAAACAACTAAAGATTGTCCATGAGAGAGTTCGATGGAGAATGCTGGTGGGCGGTCTATGCTCCTTCACGAGGGGTAAGTTATTACTCTCATAATTTATTAATAATAATATTATATATACATCCATTAACTATATAGATTGGTTAAAAATGCGATTTTAGCAATAGCTAAGCAATGTTTGTTTTAATATAAAAAATGATGCTTCGATAGGCACTACATACGGTCATCTAAGACAGTAGAAAATATATAAATGAAACTTCAAGTGGACGTTTTTGAAAAAGTATTATGTTCAACGACTCCAATTTTATGCTTTAACACAATGAACTAAACAGAAAACGACATTTCTTACTTTAGTGTTTCTCAAGATTTGAGTAATTTTCGGAATTTCTATCATCCCCTGATATGATTTCGACAATCAGTGAAATAAAAGAATACTGAATAGTCATTTTGTGGTAGTATGAAATTCCCAAGTACGCCTTCATAAAAGTTATTCTGAAAACACTTAAAGTATTCATCAGAAATCTATCTTAAGATGGATATCTGGCGATTCTAACAGAAGGCTATAACTAGTATAACCAATCCACTGGGAACTAAGAGAGACAATTACGGATGACAATGGATATCGATCACACTACATTGAAAATTGGTTTAAGTTTAGAAATGTAGAACACTAAATTCCGACGATAGCCATGCAGGACCTTCCTCATTACGAGACCTGGGTTCTCCTTTAACGTTGTGAAGGCCACACTGGACGCCCAAGTGACTTTGCCCTGTGCATAGACGTCCAATCTGTGTGATGAAACCCTTGCCAATACTGCATTATATCTCAAACTCGCCCTCCTAAATCACTCGATTGGCAGTAAAACTCATCCTAGATTGAGTCCGAACCCAAATTTGTCAGTACGTTGGTGAATGTTACGAAGAGCTATCGTTTCAAGCATATTTTTATTGCTTTGATGGTATTAAGACTTCTTAAATGGCCTAGTATTCTTGGACACTTCATATTACTCCACTAGTGTCATTCAAAACAGGACTTGGAGAGGAACGTAAATGTCTTAAAGTAAAACTAGTAAATTTATGTAGTTATACACCAATCATAGTGAATGCATTTCATAAGCTGAGTAATTGTAAATGTATACAAATCATAGTGCAAGATTTATTACAATAAAGCTGCAGTGAAAATAAAATAACGAATTTTATAATGCATAAGAGTTAGCGGATGAAGTCCATCTTAAATCAATTTATGAGGTCTAAAATTAATTTCTTCATGGCTACAGTAATTAGGGACTCGATGTCCTCGACAGATTAAGTCCTTTACATTAACATCACATAAACAACTATTAACGGAAATCTACGTGATTGGTGCTTCCTGCGCTTCGGTACTTAGTACGATACCGATGTATCAGGGTCTCAGGATAAACACACGCAGAACAGTCTTTCCGAATGGAGATGGAGAATGAGTTCGTAGTACTTCACTAGTCTTGTATGTGGGTCCCAAATATACAGAATGTATCAGTACTAAGACATCAGAGATGTGACCAAACCTACCAATTGTCCGATTTGTATCAAATTGCAAACGTTGAAGGAGGAAGGTTTAAACAACAAATATAGCTCCCGAAAAGTTGTATCAGATTTCTCATTCGATAATATCATCCGTGACTTACAACCGTCAAAGCAGGAAACAGACTTTAACAGAGAATAGCTGCTGGATGAGTCAAAGGACAAAAGTATATAGATAGTGGGATTAAAACGAAACAGAACACCGAAGCAATCGACTTGTATTAAATTGATCGTAAATATCCTTTTAAAAAGTAATGAAGTGGAGCCAATAGGATATTTTCTTAATAGCTCTTTATTACCATACTTGTGATGAAACACTTTTTAAAAATCCCAAACGTATCAAAACAAGATGAAATTTTATTACTGTTCACATGGATATTAGCATCTAGAACTACTAAACAGTTAAACCCATCTAGTAAGGTGTAATATTTGAGTTATTCACGTAGAATCAGTTTACGTATCTGTGTGATTATAACGAGTTAAAAATCTTACAAATTATTCAACAACTGCACAGCTCGCATAAAAGCTAATTACCTTGACTATAAATGAGTTGAATAACTACTTACTGTTTCCATAAGTTCGATGCAGTTATTTTAAGAATAATTTGTTATCCAAATACAACAACTGTTTTGATATTATTTTTAACAACGCTAATGAAAAGTTCAAGGAAATTTGTTGTGAACTAAATATGAATTAGGCTTACTTAAAACGTGGATGTCCTTGAGTAATAGCTGCATCTGGAAAAAACAAACTTCTGGAAGCACCACTATCAGGAGTTGGTTTGGCAACTGGATAGCAAAAGTCATCACAACCCAATCTAAATCGTAATGCATAATGAATATAATAAACATTTGGTGATAAATGTTTCTCTGGAAAGTAGCAGAGAGGAAATCACACAAAGAAAGTGTGTGAAATCAACTAATAATAACAATAATTAATTAATCAGAACAGCACAACAATCTGTAATTCATTTTTTTAATATTTAGGAGTTAAAGAGAAACCCTACTGATAACGCATACTTTGATATTAGTATGAATGTAATCCTATGAAACTAGCCAGTAAATATTTATATACAACAGTAAAGTTTGTAACTTTTAAGCATTTACGGATCTATTCTATAATTTTTAATTAGACCGTTATGAATGTGATAGAACTTTAATTGTACATGATTATTTGAACTTCACTGGTAGGCAATTCGATAGTGAATTCGAAATCCAAGAAGTGACATACTCTACACTCACAAGCACGGGATTCACACTGCTCATGTTTTCAACCAGCAGAATCACTGGGATGAAGATTAATGATAACTATTTTTTATACGTATTTAATATCTAATGACATGAGCTTGTCTTACTTTTTAGTACTTATCTTCAGTTCAAAATTAATTGCATAAACCATGATTTTCACTAGAAATTTAACAATTTACTTTCATATTCACTCTGTAGTGAATGGTAGGTCGCTATTTAAATTGATGACTTTAAGGATTGAATTCATTACTGCTAATTTTTATTATCGGCGAAAACGGTTGAAAATCAATGGCATTAAAATTATTATTTGATGTATTTCGAATAAAAAAATTCAAAGTTTTAAGATTCTACCCCCGCCAAAAAACCTAACGCAGTAAACACGAATATGCATTTCAGACAGGTGACATGACCAAATAATTATGATGTTCAAATAAAAGGCATTTGAAGTCTATCTGTATAGACAACATATCACATAACATTCTCTGTTAGTCACTGACATCAAAGCGATAAGAACAAACTTAACCAGATAAAATGAATCCATTTAATTTTGTTAGATATATTTAGCTACAATCAACCCAAAGTATGCACAGAATCAATCAAATAGGAACATAGGTTTTTTACTGTTGAATACAATAAACACAATAATTGCCGCAGTTAGACAATACAAAAAGATAACAACATTAAGTTTTGACAGTTCAACAAAGTTACCTAAACATCAGGAGCCGAAAAAGAGATCAAAACATTTTAATATCTTCATAACCATAAAGAGTGCGAAAACTATGCAAAAGATTTCACGCTAGTATTGAATTATAAGATTATTATTCATTTGGACATTGTTGAACAACACTTCGTCATTTATCAAGTTTTTGGTTAAATCGTAGTAAACATTTATTTTACTCAGTCAGAAACACGTTCTTATTTCACTAATTTTGTTATATGCGGACGAAGAATAATAAGTAGTATATGCTAGGATCTATTTATGGACTGTTATTACATATATTCTTACTGTATAACTATTAAGTAACTAAATTATGTGCATATTCAGATTCCTTTCATTATAAGCTTCCATTTGACCTATTGACTACTATTATATAATTTACCAGTCTTAGGTTATTCCCAACCTATTAGTAACAGTATCTCACAATCACAGCCACTTTCCGGCCTGATCTTGCATAATTGTTATCTTCTATTTTATGATATGTTGTTGGTCTGGTTTATTTGTATATAAACCCAGTATATCTCAAATACATGATTCATACAGCGGAGGCTAATATCGGTGTTCTGGACTGAACCGGCTGGGTTAGGCGAGAAGCTACTATCTTGGTGGATCAAGAAGAAATCAGAGTTGACTCTGAACTGCTGGTAATGGGTTGTGTCATTGATCTGGTCAGTAAGTCGGTGTTCTAATTGGCGATCGTATTACGTGATAATTAACAGGCTATAAGAACATAACAATGTTTCTAAATAAATAATATATTTGTAATATCCCAATGAGTAGAAAATTGGGTTTTCTGAGGTTTCGTGACTTAGTGCAAGCCACTTCAGAGAATAAATAACCAAATTACAACCAGTTCAAGTTTAAATAGTACAACGGAACAATAAGAATAATATGTGATCAATCAGAGAACAGGTCTGAACAAGTTAATGTTGTCATTTCGGTCAAGGTGATTCATAAGTAGGATGTTTGGTAAGGCCTTCTTTTCTATTGGGAGAAGTAGGATTAAGCATTATATGGAAGGCTTCAGCTATTCTTATTGGGATATTACAAATATATTATTTATTTATAGCAATCTACCCAATGCTCAATTTATTCGAAATTATCAAATCAAACCTTGGTAATGATACCTATAACAAGTTTCGTACATATTTCAGATTCATTGAGAATAAATACAGGTAATCAAATAAAATGAATTCATTTACTCTTGTAAGATTTTGCTTGTTAGCTTTACTATGGATATTTTTGAGAAAAATACATACCGTGGAAAGGCTGATATTGTCAATGCGATGCAATCTTCAGGAAGATTCGCCACTAAATCTAATCGTCTTTTTTTCATGTTGCACTCGACAGTGTTAAAAGCATCCAATAGTCGTCCAAAAGGAATTCTAGGTACTCCTTCTATCATATACTCAGCATACTCGGGTTGCCAAGTTATTTCATCACTGAAATAGTTTGAAACGTCATTTTATTATAGACAAAATACGTACGGGATTACAACTGCCAAAACACTGGTGATATTAAATCGTGATGTAGATAACTAGTAGGTAACAAAACCTTTGTCGGATATCAAATCCCACGTACTTTGAACATTTCATCACAAATTAAAGCAAATCCTTTTCAGGGCGGTCACGTTAATGTGAGTAGATCAATATTCATCCAATGGGCGTTGAATATGGGAAGGTTTGAAAAGTAATACTCCTTCTAGACATATCGGACCTTTAAATGCGCCACACAATAACAATGTGGCTAATAGTAGTTATCATCGGTTTGCATGAGGGTCGTGATATTACCGAAGCAGGTGGTTTTCTTAGGGGGCCACACTCAGAGCCTTTGACCTAAAGGTCTAGTCCACAAGGCAGTAGAGCAACGTTAGGAGATGCAGTCCCATGGAAGCCGGTCACTAACAATAAGTTTACACGCCATTTGTTCCCTCGGGATCCTGGAGACCATATACACCGTTGGTTTGGAATCAGGGTTTTCCAACTCCCCTATGTGGAACTTCTGTGTCCACCAACCCGGTCAAAGAGCCAGACATTCATTTTTCGTCCTCCCAACCTTGTGAAAAGCACTCTTAGGGAAAGAAGGCAGTGAGTAGGACTCCTGGCAGTGACTATACTTGCAGCCCTGTGGGAGCATTTCGAGAGCGAGAGTGGATTCTTCACACCCTCGACAGTACCGTGGCATTAGGGGCTTGAATTTTCGTAGTATTATTTTTCTTTTGTTGGTGTAGTTTTTCAGTTGCCAAAGTGTTAATTCAACTTACTACTACTCTACAACCTAGTACATACAGCAAATCTTTTCGACAGACTATATAACGCTTTACGTTGACGGGAGAACAAAATAAGGTACTTAAACCGAATCACGAATGCAATGATTAAATGTTTACTGGATCAAATGAAGGGAATTAATGGGAAGAGTGGATCTAAAACTTAAGGATTAGTTGAGTAGTGTAGTGAAGTGAAGAAAATGTTAATTCCAAGACATTTATGACCTTACTACCTAAACTGTAATCATTTGCTATGGAAAAAATATGAATTAAATAACTGTAACCCGTAGGCTAATGTGTAGGTTTGAATCATTATGAACGTACCTGATATCACTTTTCTTTTCATTTATCAACTTTAACAACTCCGAAGCACCAAGATAGAGTTGTGCTGCATGTGTCGAAGGGTCAATGCGAACCAATGTGTACTCAATCTCATCACCCCATTTCAGTGTATGCTTCATTCGTGAATTCAGTTTGTGATACAATGATAAGAACTGTTTGATACCCTGTTCTCGAATGAATAACGCGACTTTTTTAGTTTCAGGCCAGTCTAGTGGCGATCCAACTGTCAACAAGCCCATACTGTATGGAAATATATTAATTACAGTTAGTGTTTTGGACACAGAAATTCAAATACTAAGTGATGAATGTTCTTATATGCAGTCGAACGAGAGAAAATGATGTTTATGAGATAATACACAAATGTTCACTCAGCGGGATTAGTGAACTAAACTTGAATCCTACCCAAACGTGTAAAAATGGGATTCAATTCACTAAGGGACCATTCATATTGAGAAAAGTACGAGTATATAATCTTTTCTGATGAAATGTATTGCAGGTTGAAATGAACTACCGTAAGTCGACAACGACATACACATCAATGGTCATTATAAAGTTAGTCATATCTTCAAATACTTATCATGATTATTATGGAACGCCTAAATTTGGCTTAAAATCCTCCTTTAAATATACTTCATGTCTTGCAAAACTCTACAGAACGACGAGGTTTTGAGGTCAGCAAGCTGGTTTGCACTCTGTAAAAGTTCTTGCTAAATTACATCTACGAGTTTTCACCATCAGGTGAAATATTGACTTTTGAGGGGTGGGGAATTAGGGTTACATACGTTAGTTTCCAAAACAGGAAAATATTATTCTGACAAATTATTTAAACAGGTCAATAAATAGTAGTTTCCAAAACGAACTATATGAACCTGGAACCACCAGGTATACGGAAGATCAAAGGATTATTTTGAAAAGCTAGGCCATATATGTTACATAAGAAAAACCCCTTGAGGTTTTCAGATTTTCACCTGTCATGTCAGTAATAAACGCAAAACCACAACTTTAGATACTGGGTAAAGCCTTATTAGTAGCGAAAAAGTCTTTGGTGCAGAAGTGAATAATTACTTATTCACTGAACGCAAACTAAAATCCTCTTATATAACAATGGCAAAGCCCTGACTTAAATATTTGATAATTATATCACTTAATGCATTAACTGAAATAATAAGTCTTATGTGACTAACGAAAACACTTTAAAACAAGTTATCTAGTACAACTGTATTATTCCAGTTTTTATAAACACAAAGTGGACATATCACAACACAATCTTACTTGGAAATCTGTCAAATGAAGAAATGAACTAATGACCGTGTGGCTTGCTTTATAAATTTGCCAGATTCACCAGCTTAGTTCCTATTGGTTGATTTTTGTCGAGTGCAGTGACAAATATATTAAATCTTCAAACTTTGAACTTTATCAACAAGATATAACGAATGACTAGTCCCTTGAGATTTGTGTCCGGGTTGTCATATAGTTTTTCATAATGTATAGATTTTAATACTTTTTTGATTTTTTAAGAATATAAAATATCAAAGTATTTATTTGGCAGTATAAGGATCTACAGTGAAAAAAAACTCCAAAATAGACAGCATCGTAAGCATTCGCTATTAATGCTGACCCCAGCAGTTTCCATGCATGCTACTATACGAAAGCCTTCGACCGGACATTCTGGCCGTAGCCGATTCGGAATGCTTTGAAATAATCTGTTTGTATATCACTGAATTTATATTTGAACTACTGGTAGTTGTGTATTTAATTTTGTTTATGGGAATCAAAACTGTTTAAGAACCTTCATTTATTCATCGGTCTCCTTCGTATAACTTTCGCATTCTGTTTGTTCGTTGTGAGTGGTCTTAACAGACCTCCATATTTCCCTCGTTTCTGTGAATAGATAGTTCTATGAGTACTCGACATCTATCCTTGCCGTTCTACTTTTACGAGACACACCATTACCTGAAGGCGCGGGGTCAAACATCAGGATCACATCCTACTTTATACTGTGCTGCTCATCCCCTATGAAGGCTAATCAGCTTATATTTCACATACTTCGACAAATAGATCTTAAATTCGAGTATACTCTTGTGTTCCACCAACCTTGATTTCTGGTTTGCTGGGCCCTAGAATCAGTGTGAAAAATGGGAAAGTTCTGCCCATCCACTATCGTTCGCGCATATTTTGGCCTCTCATAACCTCGAAAATTGGCTGAAAATGTTATACTACGGCTAGACCATAGTATTATTCACGAAGACTAAGTTTGTATAGCACTAAAAGTAAAGTTGGGAGTCATAATATTTACATTACAAGTCCTTTTAACATCAATATCGTTATTATTGCATTATCACGGCAATTCTATTGTCTATAATGCCTTTTAATTAAGTATCCTGAAGTCAATCAAATAGGAAGCCAGGAGTGGAAGAGTTCAAAAGTAAATTTGCCCGGCAGTCGATTTGTCGAGTATTTGAGGTAAGCTAACTAGCTGTTACAAGGATTCCACAGCATGGCGAACCTGATAGTAGTCTGGTGCAGATATGTGATGGAGCACTTTTACATAGGGTTGTGTAAAGTAAAGGTCAGCATCGATATCGAAGACTCACTAGACCATATATTTACCGTGACATACTCATAAACTGTCAGATGGAAATTCTCAACAACAATCGTCAAAGTAAGACTTTATACCGCTTTAAGTTAATACGTTTCATCGTTTAAATCGTTTTTACGTATGTTATGTTCATATTTCTGTCAGTATTCAGTACTTTCAAATAAATACAAACAGTATGCATCTCTGTCATTCCAAGTATCCTAATATGGATTTTAGAGTTTATCCTCATAGTTACATTCATATTCACCAACTTACTGTCATTTTTACCTAAAGCTAGGAAAGCATCCGTATTTTTGAATTCATTCACCGGATGAAATTCACCTGCATTTGTGGCACGGATATGTCGGATCAGACGATGAAAAATCCGACCAAATATCATGTGACATCCTAAATTTCGGAAATTTCAGTCGTTTTTTGTCTCAGCGCGACAAGACAAAGCACACAATCGCAATCAAAGAATCACAACTTCTATAAAATGAATGATGAATAATGCGGAATTAAGTGTGTAAAAACCATAAAGACATTATGTATCTATTTAAAAATCAAGACTCGAAGACATCTAAATCATGAAGGTACGGTGACTATCTGAACGATGAGCATTCTATGCTTGAATGCAGAATTGTAGATACGTAGAGTTACGTGTGCATGGGAAGCTAGAGGTGCTGCCATATGGAGCGAATACATGGAAAGACCTGCACACACATACAGTAACATTCGTACGAAAGAGACCTTACAACAAATCGACCATTGTTATGCTTTAAGGTCGAACACAACTGTATGCCCGGAAATAAGCTGACCACAGTAACGTTATTATTATTATTTTTATTATTATTCACAAACATCTTATGGATACATAAGTGTTGTGAAGAAACCATTTCGGGTTTCTTCAAAAAATGCAACAATACACAATTTTCAATAATGTTAGTATTATACTTGTCATATTAAAAAAAATTTAGAGTAATAATGGTAGAATAATAATAATAAATCAGGTTCTGTGTAATTGAGAATATTGAATTGAATTTAAAGAAGGAAAGGAAGAAAATAACGGAATAGAAATAAACGAGACATGAAATACGCAAATAGTTTAATTGGCGTGTTTATGAACATAAAATAAGAACAAACGACTATGTATATATCATCAAATTAGTAACAAAAAATAATTAAGAAAAAAAACTTATTATCGCAGTAAGATTTGACGCTAGAATAAGTGTTTGTGCAGTTATAGTTTGGAGTGATGCTATGAAAGTTTCAATTAAATGAAAAGGATAAAGAAATATCAATATGTATGAGTAGTCATATATGCATAGTGAAAATAAAACGGGTCTGAGAATTTAATTTAAGTGTAACACAAGTTATTGTTTTAATTACAAACTTCGTAATCTTAAGAATAATATTTGTTTAGAATGAAGAGAAGAGAGAGAAACGAAGTGAACACCTAGTGAAAAGTTTCATCCATGATAAGAATAATAATTGCATAATGAATATTGACCTCAGAAGGAAATCAGCAATTGAAAAAATTAAATAAAAATCCTTTAATGCACTCGGATGAATACATTTAGATTTATGTAATGGTATACAGAGTGAAACCGGATATTAGTACAAATATAATATTAATTTTAATAACAATAATAATAATTTTATTCTCAAATAACAGTTTGTTACATGAGGCATGCCAGTTTACAGGCAAGATAAAATTGATACAAATGATACAATATCCACTGTAGTAAATTACATAGGTGGGTTGATAATTTATATGATATGAATGTAGATGGTTTTAACCAGTACTACAGTTGGCGCGCTTCACGAAGTTGCGCTGCGAATGTGCAACTGATGGTCAAGGATAGGTCCATGAAGGTGGGAGCTTCTAAATGTCGCAACCTTATGTCCCTTTGGAATGTCTAAGGCTTTGAGGATGGTGCAGGATGAAATCTTTGGTTCCATATCACAAGGGGGCTGAAAGAGGGAGCAAGTAAAAGAAAGGACGAGAGGCAGAATAGCCAATATTCATGAAGAAATGTTTAAGGTATGATTACTCAGTCTAATTTTATTTTATTAAGGTATTTGTTAAGAAAGAGCATTTTAATAGGTTAAAGAAACTAAGTGTTAACAAGGTGTGAGTGGACATACAACTGACAAATGGAGGCGATTCGGAAAGGAGCTGAGAGTATGGAATTATGTGTGATTATAAAATAAAATATAGTGCTAGAAACAGTATTGTGATATACAATTGGCTGTCTTCCTTTCATTATCGAAGCTATTAGAGCACCTTTTGTTTATTATTATTATTTTTTTCCCCAGGTATTATAGGGTCTTGAGTAGGTTTCGTATATTAGCAAGTTGTCTAGTTTGCTTGTAATAGGATTTCTGGATAGGAAGTGAAACCAATTCAACGTTCGTAACACGATTTAAAGAGGCATTTTGCGTGATAAATCAGCTTCAATACCATAAGTTCGTGACATCCCACTAAACCATAAGGAGCCGTAATTAAACAAAATGTTCTGCCCTACAGACATGGGTGGATTGAATTTATCTCTCCACCATCATGTTTGCTGGTCAGTAACGCCACCCTCCCTCCTTTTGTGATGTTAGGCTTTCTTACGTTTGTGGTAAGTATGAATACTGCTTTAATCAAAGCCCATAGTTGGAATACACTGTCTCTACTAGGTCCATGTTACAAGCAAATCAGATAGTTGAAAAGTCTTTTATGGGTTAGATGTCCATATAGTATATCACACTGCTATGAAAATAACTAATGGTTTAAAGAAGTAAGGACTAATAGTAAATCAAAAGATAGGAGAGGGTATGAAATTGTAGAAAAAAAATTTTCAGGGTAAGACAAATAAAGCATCCAGAAACCCACAAGACTTTGTGGCCAAATTTTGAGCTTTGTATGATCGGCCTTGGTAGATCAGCATCCATAAGATTGAGCTATCTGTCTACTTGCAGTAGAAAAAACATGACTTTTAGGAAGAATAATGTACATTTAACCTGTAGAGATTCGGGAACTGAAAGCTAAGGCCATGATTAATAAACAATGAATAATAGGAAAGGATAAGCCAAATATTCTGTGATTTGGTTATATTCGTATTAGTAACAGTCGAACTTGTTATAATCTTGTTCTTTCTAGATACTAGGCGGTCCGTAATAAAGTGCCTCATCGGTGGGCGGGAGTTCAAGGAAATGTTGAAGCTCTTTGGAATCTAGAAATAGGGTTATTAGCTTTTTGAATCTGGTAAACGTATCACAGTTACGGATAGGCATTGGCAGCCTGTTCCACAATACACTATACCGTACTGTAAAAAACTTACAACGCATTTGTTTTTGGTGTTTTACGGTAAGTAGTGTATATGCGTTGTTGCTAAGTCTATAGGCTGGGTCGTGGGTGATAGTCGGGCAGGAGGTTAGAAAGGAGAGCCCATATATCGCTTTGTAGAGAAATATTAAATTGTTTTTTAGCCTACGGTGCCATAAAGGTTCTAAAGATAGATGCTTACATCTGTCTGTGTAATCGATATCCGAGTTACATCCTAGTAGTTGACGTGTGAAACGTCTTTGAACATCTTCTACTCTTATCTTGTCTGCGATATTCATATTAGAGAAGACAAAAGAGCAGTATTCAAGGGAGGGCCGTACACATATTTTGTAGAGAGTAAGTTTACCCTCTGTTGTGAAAACGTTTTTCATTATAAAACCAATTAGCCATCTAGATTTAGAAATAATAGAGGAGGCATGTTCTTCAAAGTTCAGGCTTCCTGTGTAGTTAATTCCTAAATCGTGTACTGATTCGAGTGTTTGGACTCTACATTCATTTAAGTGAAGTCGCGGTTTATAGGGATGCTTTCCAAAGTGCATGATCCCGCACTTGTTGAGGTTAAATGGTAATTGCCATTTTTCACTCCAGATAGTTAAGTTATTGAGGTCCTTTTGGATCTGGGATACACTTTCGCTTAGTGTCTCAGGCTTATAGCTGTATACTATTTTGAGATCATCAGCATATAAGTATTGTTTCTCAAATTCTATGATGTTACATATATCGTTTATATACATAAGAAACAAAAGTGGACCTAATACGCTTCCCTGGATGACTCCACTGGTGATTGGTCTAGGGGACGAGAGACAGTCATTGTACTTTACCATCTGTTTACGTTCTGTACTGATTGCCTTGGACATATTTTGTACACTGAATTCTACATTAGTAATTTCACAGGGAGTTACTGGGATTGGTTCTGAATAATTAAATGGTTTTTCGTTAGTTAGTGAGAAACAAAAATGTTCACTAAATAATTCTGTGATAAGTTTGGGATCTTCGTATACTTGTTTGCCTTTAATGAATATACTCCCTCTCGATTTAGAGCGTTTAAGTTTATTTTGGAGTAGTATGGTGAGTGCAGAGGAGTTATTATTAAGTTCAACTGCATGTTTTTCCTGTGCTACTGCTTTTTGTTTACTTATTGCCTCTGTTCGGACAAATATTTCTGTCATCGTTACTAAAGAGGAAAAGTCATTTAAGTTGTGGAATCGAGTACAATGTCTTTAAAGGCGTCTTCTTGTACTGATCGGTATATAGAGATCTTTGGAGAACGTAGGTTTACAGTATTCTAAAGGTACGATGTTGTTGATGATACTTTTGATGTTGTGATAAAATATATTGGTTAATGTGTCGGTATTGTTTGAGGTAAACAAAGTTCTCCGATCAGTGTTTCTTAGGTAATTGTGGAAGTTATTCCAATCAACCTTGCGATAGTTTCTACGAAGTGTTACGGTTTTACTTCTATCGGTTGTGGTTTTTACATTAAGGCTGCATATGACAATGTTATGATCACTACCTGGGAACTTTTTTCCAATATACAAAGTATTGGGGATGAGGCCACTGGTAAAGACTAAGTCTAAGATGTTTTGATGTCTGGTAGGGCTATCGACATACTGAGTCCATTGTTCAAGCTCTAGACATTCAATAAATGATTCATAACGTTTCGGCGTTTTGACTGTCAGCCAAGAAATTTCGGGCATATTGAAGTCACCACAAATAAGCTTGCCTGTGAATGAGAGGGATGATGCTAGTGTGAATACCTCCGATAATACTGCTATTTCATCTTTTGATGCGTTAGGTTGACGATAAACACAGCTGAGCAGTAAGGTAACGGAATTCGACGGCTGTAATACAATCCACACCGAGTCCTTCAGTTTGTTTAGTTCAGGCATATCACAGCAGTGAGTTTAGGCTAGAGTGAGCGTAAATACGGCATCCTCCGCCTCGTCCA